ATGCGTGGCTCGGCCTGGCTCGACTCAAGGGGACGATTGGCACACGGGTCACACGTGGGTCATGATCGGGTCAGGTTGGCCTAAGCAAAAACGCGCAGATCCTAGAGACTTATTAATGCCCAAAACGATGTCGTTTTACGCTAGTATATAAGGCTAAAATCGATTCTTTTTATCAGAATTCTCTTCCTCTTTTTTTTCCCCTTTTTTCTCTCCCCTCTCTTTAAGAAAACTCAATTTTTGATTGAATATTTAATCAAAAACTGGAAAAGTACATCAAAAATTGAAAAATCTAGCCGAAAAATTCATCAAAAAATTAATTGGATTCTGGAATTTTTCAAAAAATTCCCATAAAATAATTACCAAAAATTCAAAAAATTCTTTAAAAAAATCTAAAACTGTTTCTAGTCTCCATAACCCTTTTTTTTTCTTCTATTTTTTTCTGTTTCGTGTATCCTTTCAACTTAATCTGTGGGTCTATTTATAAGGCTTTAAAACCACAAAATTCCAAAATCGAATAGAAATCCCAATTCCTTGGGACTTTAGTCTTATTCAATCTCTTCCAATCCGCCTCAAACTTTTTAACCCAGTTTTACACCAATTCATCCACCTTTTTTTTTTTCATTTTTTCATTTTTATTATTTTATTTTTTTAATTAATCAAAAAGGTAGACCCCAGATAGATTGGGTGTCTACAATAATGCTATTGCATTAGCATTTTGATAACTTTTTGGTAATTTGATAGCTTTATAATGATGTTCACTATTATATTTTAAGGATGATACTGCTGTATTATTGTTGATAATTGGTATGTTGATAACTTTTTAGTGTTTTGATAGTTTCAGTATTTATAATAGAATTGGTATTAAATTACAATTTGTCTTTGATGGTTATCTGATGTTCTTAATAATTTGTAAACATTGACAAATGACATTACTTATAAATCATAACATTGACAACCTCATTTCTAAGTATTGTTTCTACAATTGTTGAGGAAAAAAAGAAAAAATAGTAGGATGATATGCAAATATTTAGGTTATTTGAAGTTAGAATACTCTAAAGTTATGAACCATTTTGTAGTTGTGTTTGAGGACTTTTGTTAACTGGTTTTTTGTATTTGCTGAAAGTTTCTATGCTTCACAATTTTTGTTCCTAAGTACAAAAATGAAAGATATTAAGTTTTAGGAAAGGTATTCTTAACACCACAAAATCATCATAACTTTTTAACTTTATTTTTTTCTTTTCAATCTTTAATTTTCTAATAGAAATTGATGATAAATTGGCTAAAAAGAAATTAATTTAAAGAAGCATTGAAGTTGAATATAGTCAAACATCAAATTTTTAATTCTTAAGGATCTTTTAATTTTTTTCAATAACTAATCTCATAACTAAGAATGTGTTGGTTATATTTCACCTTTACTTTGTTTGAGTGCATTTTGTACTCTGTATCCCTAATAGTAATACCCATAATAGCTTCTTCTCTTGCTCTTGTGCTATTTTTTTTCATTTTATATAAATAATAAATTGAAGATTGCTTTTAAATAAAATTTGGTCACTTACTGTTAAGACAAACATCATTTTTGCCTCGGTGTGATTTTCTCTAAGTAAATTTAGTTGTTACAATGGATGAGTGAGGATCTAGTTCAAAGTATTGCAGCATTTTAAGACATTTTAAGTGCTACATTTCACCATATTCTTTCATCACCTAGTTTTGGTTCCAAGTGTTAAAGACTGTATATTTCTTTAATTAAGTATACATCAGTGGCTAGGTTGCATTCATAAATTATCAAATATCTTGCATTCATAAATTATTTGATTTTTTTTAGAATATGAAAAATATTTTAAAAAATAAAGTAACACTTTTAGGGGTAATTTTAAGTGTCAATATAGCTCACTTATAAATATAAAAAATTTTGAATAAAAATGTGACTTTTACCGACACTTTAAAATGCCTTTAAAAGTTTTTTACTTGTAACAGTTTAAAGAGCCAAGAAAAATCTTGTCATCAAATACATGTATAACTCTGTCATCGGTGGCTAGCCCACCAAAAAGTTTTCACCAACACTCACCTAGCCAACGGTCAAAAATCTATCAACAATAATAATAGGACACTTTTTTAAGTTTTTTAATGGCACTTATAAGTGCTGGTAAAAATAACTTTTTTTTGTTGTGTTATATAGTAGTTAGTAATTTTATTTAAATTTTTAGGAATATTATTGTAGTTATGAAGTCAAGATCAATAGATTTTTTTTCTTTAAGAAAAATAATCAAAATATAGAATCAAAGACAACATCTTTTACTGTAGAAGCCAATACTACACTTTTTAATTTTACTTCACAAAATGAAGCACCAACATCATCATCATCTACTTCAAATTGTGAAACTTGTACTTTTAAAATTCCTATAATTGAAGCTATGACAATTAATTTATCTAATTTAAAATGTGATCTAAGATTGCGTAAACAAATATATAAGTATCCAGTTAATCTACGTGATGAAATTTAAAGAGCTTCCATCATGACCAGAATACATAAACCTAAGTTTTGAGAATATCATGCTTGTAGTTCAGAAAAACATCTTTGTCACTTTTGTTTCTAGAAGTGAAAAACCAAAAAATAACAAAATTTTAAATTAATCAAAGATTAAATTCCAAAATTTTTGGACAAAAAAATTTTGATTTAGCTAAATAAATTATAATTTAAAAAAAAAAATTCTACCAAAGGTGATAAGCATCCACTCGTAACTTTTCTCTTTAAACTTAGGCTCCGTTTGTATCGCTTAAAATGACTTTTGAAAAATGATTTTCAAAAAATTATTTATATTTTTTAAATTGAAAGAGCTTTACTGTTATTTGAATGAGTTAGTGAAAATTTTTTTTCGTTATTTGGTTGTTTTCTAGAAAATTTATTTTTTAAATAATATTAATATAACTTTTAAAATATTAAAAATTACTTATTATTAAAATATATTGAAATTATTTATTATTAAAATTAGTAATATTCAAAAATAATTATATTTTAATAATATCTAATATTAAAATATTATGTTAATATAAAAAATACTTAAAATAAAACTATTTATTATGCTTTATATTAATTATTAATATATTATTTATTAATAATATATTATTAATATGTTATTATAATATTTATGAATTAAATTAATAATATTTAGTATTATATTATTTATTAATATATCATATTAATAGTATATTATTTGTTAATAATATACTATTTATTAATATATTATAATATAATATTATTTATAAGTAAAATTATACTAAAAAATATTGATAAATAATTTTACTCATAAATATTTTTTTTCAAAAAATTTCTTCACATTTTCAAATCTGTAAGACAATGATCTAATTTTTTATTGATTAATAAATTATTTTTCATTGTCTAATCTATTTTCTGTCAGACAAACACTTAAAAAATATATAAATCACTTATTGAAAGTCATTTTCGTTAAACAAATGAAACCTTCAAGCGCGTAACATCACTACTATCTAATCTCTCCTTTTTGTTCAAAATCAGAAGAAAATATATATATAAAATATTTAACTGCAAAATCGAATAACTTAAATATTTTTCCAAAATTCAATATATTTACCAGATTTCAATGTAAAATCAGAGTTAAGGTCAATAAAATAAGAATAAACGAGACGTAAAGGAAACAAATATCTAATAGAAAATCATAACGGCTGTGATTGGAGAAATAAGGCTTTAGGCTCTGTTTGGGTTAGAAATCTAGAATTTGGGCTTTGTTTGGGTTAGGACATCGGTTAAAAAATCTAAAATTTGGATTTTGTTTGAGTGAAGTACCTAACGGCTTAGTTGAGGTTCAAAAATAAAAAATTTGGGCTTTGTTTGGGTTCAATAATCTAAAGTAGACCAAGATAGAGTAAATGAGCCTAGATAAATGCTTTAGTTTTTGAAAATTTGGGCTGAAGAACAAACAACAAGAGACAATTTTGGGATGGCTTCATTGTTATTGAGTTGGATCATATAAGAATGGAAAGCTTGGTATTTTTTATTTTCATTTTTTGGAAAACGGTTGTTGTTTTTTATTTTATTTTCTTTTCTAAAAAATATATTTTGTGGAAGAAACAAAATAAAGCTATACACCATCTAAAATGTTATTAATAAATTACGCGATTATTGCTTTTAAAAGTTTTTATATTGGACTTTCATAATCTATAATATGTATTAATTTATTTGAATTTAACTTGATATTACATTGTTAAAAAATATTTTAATTCAATTTAATAATTAAAAATTATTATATAAATAAATTAAATTAAATTAAATTTAGAGTTATTTAACTCTATTTATTTATTTTTATATGACGGTGGTAGGAATCATTAGAAACATCTATAAACTTTATGTTTGTTGATGCTTGTCAGTTTTGTATTAGCTCATGGATAAGGCATTATCCCATGCCGATGCTTTGACAGAAGGTAAAATTTGCTTTATCTTGAAAATGAAAATGTCCAATTTACTGATATATATATATATATATATATATATATGTATATATATTCATGTCTTATAATTATATAATAAATAATAATTAAAAAAAAAAGTTGATGTCGGTGTATATTTATATCATATAAAATATTAAAATTTATATATTTATATTTTATTTTATATAAAAATACTGTATTATAATTTAATATAAAAATATATAATATAATTTATTTATTTTATTAAATTATATATTATTATTATTATTATTTTAAATCATATTTTAAATTATAATTTAATGATAGGCTTTATAGAGAGAGAAGATAATATGGATGGAGTTTATTTTCTACATTAACATAATTTGGAACAGACAAATTAAAAACATCATCATTAGTCCTGATCACGCAGCTGCCACATACAATATTACATTTTTAATGCTCTTCAATCAGACATACTTGACTCATTTAAGTAATTAAGCTTCATACTATAAGAGAGTGACTATGTTTGGGATTCATGCGACATTATCTTCTGCATGTCTTCATGGGAATCCTCCAAGACCACCACCAGCCCCAGCTCCACCACCAAATCCACCACCGACTCCACCTCCGGCTCCACCACCACCACCAAACCCACCTCCACCTCCTGCTCCACCACCACCACCTAGTCCACCTCCAAACCCACCACCAGCTCCTCCTCCAAATCCAGCACCACCACCTAGTCCACCACCTCCCCCACCTCCGAACCCTCCACCCCCACCTCCGCCAAGTCCACCACCTCCACCAACCCCACCACCAGCACCCCCACCAAATCCAGCTCCACCACCTAACCCTCCTCCACCTCCACCACCAAACCCACCACCACCTCCTCCTCCTAAGCCACCACCAAATCTCGGTCGATGAAGGAGGTTCTTCTCATCCTCAAACCCTTCCGTGAGCTTCCTAGCACTACTAGTGGTGCAAACAACTGCACCAAGAAACAAAACAAGAAGGAGCTTAGAACAAGTCATCTATGCTAATACTTAAACCTAAAGATGACCTTGATGAGATGTTGGGGGCTCGAAGGAGGGTTTATATAGGGAAAATATGAAGCCATGGAAGCTTGGAAGAGAGTACGGTTAAGGTCTTAAATTTTGCTCATCTTCCTCATGCAAAAGCCGCGTTGGAAGAGTTAATGCACCCAACTGTCACTTCAGAAACCATGACCCACCCCTGATTAATATGAGTGGATCTTCAGTTCTTCACCTTGCTTTTTCTAAATGAAAGCCGCTCTTTTTATGATTTAAAATCCAAACACCATGGACTTTTCACGCTTGTTTTTGCAATTTGCATGGATTTTGAGTTGTTGCAACTCTGTCTTTAGGGTTTTCAAAAGTCTTCTCTCCGTATCCATGCCTTTCCTTGACTTTTTGAACGTTCCATTAATGCCACAGGTTTGCATGTAGTTGTGGAGTGATACCTATCCAAATTAATTATGAATTTATAATTATAGATTCTGTACGCTATCAGTGAATGATTTTTTATTAATAAATAAATATTATTTTTAAAATTAATATATAAATTAAATTATTTTAAAAAAATTTATTCATTAATAAAACGTTATTCTTTAATTCACTTCATTAATGAATTATCATTATTTAATTTACTGATAATATATCAAATATATATTTATTAATTATTAAAAAAAAGAAAAAGAGAGAATATGAGTAGTAAAAGCTTCCAACGCGTTAGATAAAAAATTAAGTAATTTGAAATGTATATAGTACCAAGAAATCAACTTGAGTATGCACTTTTACACAAAAAACAAATTTTACAAAACTGCTATTCTTCATCAGAATGCTTTTTTTTTTTCATTCAAATCATAGCGTGCATGTGTAAATTTTTATTTTCATGAATATATACATATATATATTTTTGGTGTTTGAGGATAGTGTCGGAGATTGAATTGATTTGATCACTAAAATTAAAAATTTAATAATTTACCAATAGACTCACGACTCTCGGCATAATCTCTTTATTCTTTATTATTTACTAAATGAACATAATATCTTTATTCTTTATTCTTTACCAAATGAAGCATGGTTTTCTTGATTTATCACTCATTTTGTTGCATTGTCATTTCAATGAAAGTTGTGTTCACTGTTGGAGTCTTGCAAGAGAGGTTATGTTAATTAGAGTAAAGATTTTAGCTAGTTCTGGTATTAATTTCAAGGACAAAACCTTCTTATCATTGTAATATCTTATAATTAGTCACGTTGATTTGTAAAGATAAAATGTATTATGTTTGTTGCGCCTGAAGCAATAATCACAACAATACAAAAACAGTAAATAACAATCAATAATCAAAGATGCAAGAAAAATAAAGCACACCAAGATTTACGTGAAAAATCTTCCAGTGTAGAGGAAAAAAATCACGGACCACCAGAAAAATCTTCACTATCAAATAATAGGTATACAAAGTTTTTCTCTAGCTAAAACTAAAGCTAAACAACAACTAGAGAAATAATTGAGAAATCTCACCAAATAAGTGACTCAACAAATACACCTTGGATTTGTTTCTAGAGAGCTTTAAACCCAATCTTCACCGTTCAGAATGTAGAACTCTGAATCATAAATCTTCTGACATGGTTCCAATTCAATCGGACCACGGATTGACTTCCATTCAACCAACTCTCTATTCTTCTTTTTCTCTCTGCTTTTTTGACTTTTTTTCTTTTTCTACTTGATTTTCGACACACACTTAAAACAACCCCGCCTCTTTTTTATTAAGTAGTTAGGCTCTGTGTAAAATGAAAGATCAAGGCTCATGGCCTTTACTTGATCCAAAATCACTTACATGGGGCTGGACCCCATTTTTCTAACAATCTCCTCCTTCAATCCCATTAGGAGGAGATTCATCACTATAGCAGTTTCATTTGGAACTTACCTTGGCCAGAAAACTTATTCCGACCAAGTTACTACAAAGCTCAAGCTTTTTCCTGGGAAGTATCTTAGTCAACATATCTGTTACATTTTTATCAGTATGAACTTTCTTCAACAGCATCTGCTGTTCTTCAATCACTGAATATAACTAATGATATCTAACATCAATGTGCTTTGTTCTAGCATGATAAATGGTATTCTTACTCAAATCTAAAGCACTCTGACTATTATAAAATATCACATACTCTTTCTAATTCAACCCCAATTCAAGAAGAAAACGTTTCATCCAAAGCATTTCTTTACATGCTTCAGTTGCTACAATATACTCAGCCTCTGTAGTTGACAAAGTAACACACTTCTGCAACTTAGATTACCAAGATACAGCTCCTCCTGTAAAAGTGAACAAATACCTTGAAGTAGATTTCCTACCATCAAGATCGTCTGTCATGTCAGCATCAGTAAACCCTTCTAAAATTGATTGTGAAACTTCATAAGTCAAGCACATTTTTGAGGTACCCTTCAAATATATAAAAATTCATTTCACTGCTTCCCAGTGAACCTTCTCTGGATTAGAAAAAAATTTGCTCAATACACCAACTGCATGAGCAATGTCAGGCCTTGTACAAACCATAAGATACATTAAAGAACCGACTGCAGAAGAATAAAGAATACTAGACATAGCTAGTTGCTCTTCCTTAGACACTGAACAAGATTTTTTACTTAGATGAAAGTGGTTGGTAAGTGAACTGCTAACTGATTTAGCATGTTGCATGTTGAATCTATCAAGCACTCGTTCAACATACTTTTCCTGTGACAACCATAACTTTTCAGGTTTTCTATCTCGGATAATGTCCATACCAAGAATCTGCTTTACTTGACCTAAATCTTTCATATCAAAAGACTTAGACAATTATTCTTTCAACCTGCAAACCATACTAGCATCTTGTCCTACAATCAACATATCATCAACATATAATAATAGGATAATAAAGTTACCATTAGGGAATTATTTAACATACACAAAAAAATATGCTACTATTCTTTTATAGCTATGACTCACTATAAAAGAATCAAACTTCTTGTACCACTGTCGCGGAGCTTGTTTCAAGCCATACAAGCTTTTCTTTAATTTACAAACTAAGTGCTCTTTCCCTTTCACTTTAAAACCCTCAAGCTGATTCATATAAATGTCCTCCTATAAATCACCATGCAAAAATACAGTTTTAACATCAAGTTGCTCAAGCTCAAGATTCAAACTAGCTGTCAATCCCAGTACCATTCGAATAGAACTTATCTTTACAACTGGAGCAAAAATCTCATCAAAATTGATGCCTGATTTCTGAGAAAAACTTTTTACTACCAATCGAGCTTTGTACCTATTTATTCTTTAATGGCCTCTTCTCTGTTAAAAGTTTAACAAGATCATAAGTACCATTCTTTTATAATGACTTTATCTCTTCTTTCATTACTTTTAACCAGTGCTCTCTATCAAGAGTAGCTTGCACATCTTGGAAGCTTTATGGCTCTCATTCACTGGTAACTAAAATAAAATCTAAACTTAGATACCTGATAGATGGCTTGCGTTCTCTAGTAGATCTCCTAGGCTGAAACTCTACATCACTTGATGTCGAAGGTAGCTCCCCCTACTCAACACTCTCAGGTAGAGATGATTGCTCCTCCTACTCAAAACAAATAACATCTGGCTCATCACCAATTGTGGCTGGCTCATTCATATGCTCAAGTTCTGTTTCTTGCTCATTTTCACCATTTGTCCTCTTTTCTGTGGAATTTCTGTCGATGTTGAAATATCACACTCAACAATAATCTGTGTAGTCTTCTCATTTTTTTCAAGGTCTATTATAGTTTTTTTTCATAAAAGACCACATCCATGCTTCTGACTGTCTTTCTCTTTACTGGATCCCATACCCTGTAACTAAATTTCTCATCATCATATCCTACAAATACACACTGTATAGCTTTACTGTCAAGCTTTGATCTTTACTCTTTCGGTACATGCATGAATGCTTTACACCTAAAAATTTTTAAGTAAGAGTATGAAGTATCTTTCCCTATCCACACTCTTTATGAAATGTCAAAGTCCAAAGGAACTGATGGTGACCTGTTAAGTAAATAACAAGCTGTGTTGACTGTTTCACCCTAAAATAACTTTGGTAATTTTGCCATCTTCAATATACATCTAACTTTTTCCACAATGGTGCGATTCATTCTTTTAGCTATACCATTATGCTGCGGTGTTCCAGGTTCTGTCCTCTCATGCTTGATCTCATGCTTTAAGCAATACTTTTCAAAACTTTTAGATGTGTATTCCTCACCATTATCAGTTCGAATACACTTCAAGAGTAACCCTGTTATCTTTTCAACCATGGCATAAAATTTTTAAAAATATTATAGTACCTGATTTTTGTATTTCAACATATACACCCAAGTCTTACGTGAAGCATCATCAATAAAAGTAACAAAATATATGCTACCACCTAATGACTTAACCTCAATGGGACCACATACATCAGAATAAATTAATTTCAATATATTTTCTTTTCTCTGAGAACTTTTACGAAAAGAAACTTTATAATGCTTACCAAACAAATAATAATCACATGAATCGAAAGACATACCTTTGGTCAAGGGAATGAGAGACTGTCTTGCCAAAACCTGTAACTTTTTTTTACTCATGTGTGCCAGCCTCTTGTGCCACAAGTTTGTTAAAGCATCATTTTCAACGGTATTTACCTGGTTACCGTTCAATTACATCCATGTCTTATACATTGTGTAGCATAATTTTTCCCTTGTAACTACCATAGATCCTCTGAGAAGCTTTCACTATCCATTCTTTTGTCGGCTTTCATATCCTTCCTTATCAAGGACATTAATAGCAAGCAAGTTTATTCTCATATCTGAAATATATCTAATATACTTCAAAATCAACATGCAACCTGTACTAGTTTGTACAATAATATCATCAATCTCAATAATTTGTGACACACTTTTATTTCTCATCTTGGTACAACCAAAGTCTCCTGCTTTGTAAGTTGTAAACAACTCTCTCTTAGAAACACAATGATATGCCACTCTTGTGTCAACTATCCACTCAATGCCGGGATCACTAACATGATTACAATCACCATGTGTACAAATCAAAGTAACTGAATCACTATCTGAATTCACTGCTGTAACATTGTCATCATCTGAACTCTTACTTTTTTCATCTTTTCGCTCTTGCTTCAAGATTTTACAGTTTCATTTTATATGACCTACCTTACCATAATAGAAACACTCCACTTTACCTCTAGACTTGGATCTATGTTTAGACTTATCACGACCTTTTGAGTCTTGACCTCTATTGATATTTTTACCCTTGTTCTCTGTGACCAGAGCTTGATTTCTAGGGTCTATATCTTTTCGTCTTACTTCTTCATTAAGCATACTGTCCTTTACCATCTCCAATGTCACCTTATAATCAGGAGCTGAATTAAAAACAGTCACAACTAGAGTATTTCAACTGTCTGGCAATGAATTCAAAAGAAATAACGTTTTTATTTCATCACCCATCTTAAGCTCCATAGTAGTCATCCAATTAAATATATCTTAAAAATCACTTAAGTTTTCTGTAACAGATCGTCCATCCCTGTACTATAAAGTTGTAAGCTTTTTAACAAGCATAACTTTATTCATACCTATTTTTCTCTTATACAATGTCAATTTTTCTCAAACAATGTGAGCATCTAACTCCTGCGTTACATGATGGAACATACTGATATCAACCTATTTTTTTTATTGTAGCCAGCGTCTTTCTACCTAGCTTCTTTCAGTTTTTATTTTTCATATCTGCTGATTTAGCCGAATCACCCAATACTGACTCATACAAATCTTTACAGTATAGATGATCCTTCATCATAGGCTTTCAAATTAAATAATTCGATGCTGTCAATTTTATCATGAAACTTGTATCACCCTCCATGATCTCAAACAGAATTTACTTCTATCCTGGGTTGCTTCTGTATCAATATCTCAAAATAACCCTCGCTCTGATACCACTTGTTGCGTCTGAAGCAATAATCACAATAATACAGAAGCAGTAGACAATAATCAATAATCAAAGACACAGAAAAAATAAAACACACCAAGATTTACGTGAAAAACCCTCTAGTGTAGAGGGAAAAAATCACGGATCACCAGAAAAATTTTCACTATCAAATAATAGGTATACAAAGTTCTTCTCTAGCTAAAACTAAAGCTAAACAACACCTAGAGAAACAATTGAAGAAATTTCACCAAATAAGTGACTCAACAAATACACCCTAGATTTATTCCTAGAGAGCTTCAAACCCAATCTTCACCGTTTAGAATGTAGAACTCTGAATCATAAACCTCCTGACAAGGTTCCAACTCAATCGGATCACAGATTGACTTCCGTTCAACCAACTCTCCCTTCTTTTTTTTCTCTCTGCTTTTTCTGGCTTTTCTTCTTTTTCTACTTGATTTTCGATACACACTTAAAACAATCTCACATCTTTTTTATTAAGTTGCTAAGTCTCTGTGTAAAATGAAAGATCAAGGCTCATGGCCTTTACTTGATCCAAAATCACTTACATGGGGTTGGACTCCATTTTCCTAATAATGTTGATAATTGTTTGATGAACAAAGGAATTAAGTGATTTGTCTACTTTTTGTTATTGGTGGCACTGTGTGGACTGGCAACAATTTCCAACACCAAACCAACAAAATGAGCTTAAATGATCATCACCAGAATTCAACGAAAATTGAATTGGCTATGCACTCCCTAGTGAAGGAGCAGGGCATTTTTTTTGTGAATATTTGTTTCTTATCTGGATTCAATTTATATTTCAATACTTATTAAGACTTAAATTTGTTCAACGTTGATTGAATTGATTGGATTTTGAATGAATTTTTCTTTGATTTGGTATCAAATTGTCTTTTGATTTGATAAACTTACAGACATCGATAGCGGCTTTAGTGCCTCGTTACAGCCATTATTTTTCATTATGCCACTAATTGCAGCTGTTAAGAGCCGCTAAATGTGTGAATCATCATTCTCATTTTTTTTGTAATAAATATTCTCACTTTTATTGCAGTAAATATAAAATAACGGAAGATGCTGTTATAGCTAAATAACGGTCACTATCCCACAATAAAGACGCTATTTAAAACCATGCTCGGGAGTCGGGACTCGATGGAAAGCAAAATTTTGATAAATTAGTTTGTTTGTTTATTTAGAATCCATGACTTTTTTTTATAAAGAAAGGGGTTATAAATGTTAAATTTAAATAGAAAATCTATTAAATATATCATTTTTTTAAAAAATTATATAAATTAACTGAATTAATTATTAAATTCATCTAGAGCGTTTCCTATGGCATATGAAGGTTGAATAATGTTATGAAGTAACCCAATTACACTTGGTATAAATATCCATAAATTTTTAAATTAATACAATGGTTATTCGGGTGTCATGAAGGCCTGGCAAGATATTGTGTGCAAAAAGTTGGGCCTTGTATATGCCTTTGAACCAGGGCCTCAATTGGGGCAAGATTTTGACTTTGACAAGATTAAACCCAAGTTGTAAGCTGAGCCAAACCAAGCAAGGGATTGTTTTCACTCAATTTTAGGCCATATGAAATTTTGAGCAACTTATCCAAGTGACCCTATAAACCTTATCCGTTACCCCCGGAAAGGATGTAAGCCATTCTGCTGAGAAGTGTCCAATTCGAGCTGAGAATATCGGCCATGAGGTGCCTCCATTTTCGTTCTTCATTTCCTTCTTTATATTCTGACCTCGGACAAAAACAGAAACTGAAAGCTAATGAACAGCTTTGGCTGTTCAGCAGTGCAGCTCCAAGGCTGGTTTTACAAAGACAAAATGTGCATTTTTGGTCAAATGCTATCTCCAATCCACTTTTCATTGCTGCCAAAATTCCTCCATCACAATCTGGTGATATTACAGTCTTTGTTCAAACAAGGTCAGGTTGCTCTTACTTTCAATTCCTTTCATCAATTTCATGTTAATTTTGCTAGGAATCAAGATATTATAAGGCCTATTTTTTTTTTCTGGAAATGCAGCGCAATACTTCTGGTTGTTTACTTTTTAGCCAATTTTGTGGCACCTTATTTCATCTCCAAGTATTTCGAATTCGACAAGATAGACGAAGATAAGAAGACAACCGAAAACGATAGCCCTGGAAGATGAGGATGAAGATGTTGAAAATCAAGCTCAACAATGGAAGGTAGCTTCCCTGGAGACATGACAAATTATTGGCAAATCCGACCTGAAAAACTCCTGTTGTAATTTTTTCGTATTATTGTACAATGCACATTTATCAACTGGAAATCCCAATTTATGGAACATGATCGGCAATTACTATGAAAATCAACAAATTCATTCTTTTTTGAATCAATCTTCAAATTACTTCTGATAACAAGCATCAGCTCATTTCACAATAATTTACAATTACCTGCAAAACTATGCTGCTTAACCCAAGTGAAAAATAGGGGACAAAAAAAAAACAAGGTATGATCAAATCAATGTCCAATCACTTTCATCCAGGGACACAGGTTTGTCAACCTGAGACAGATTATCAGGTTTAGGAGGCTTCTTCGAAAATAAAGATGACTTGCTATCAAAAAAGCTAGCAAATGGACGAGAGGGATTCTCATCTGAATTCTTGTGGTCTTTTGGAGGAGGTTTTCTCTGCTGTTTGTCCTTGCCACCAAAGTTGAGACCAAGCTTCTTAAACCGGCGTTTTAGGTCACCAGCAGGAGGGCTTCCATTTTCCATTGTCGGTGTCTCTTCTGCTTGCTTTATTGTCTTTATGACTTCTTCAGCAGATACTAACATCGTTTCCACTGTTTCATACACCTATTAATAGAATTCATATTGAACATTATCAGATGTACAAATTCAGACAACCGCAAGGTATCGCAGCAAAACCTTATAAACTGACACTTGCAAGCATGAGAATAAACCAAACACAGTTTTCTTGCATGTGAAGAAACCAAAGCTTCCTTCCCCTTACTAGGAAACTTTGAATATGCCTGGAACAAAGGCACTCAGGCACTCAACAGTTTTAATTAGCATTTAATAAAGCCATGTAATCTATGATAAGCATTTGACATCAGTCTGATATGTTTAAAGATACTTGTTATTTCCATTGGTAGAAACATCTAGGCAGCTGGGTACAATAGAACATACCTGGCAAAGATCGTCCAATTTATCATTCCAGACACTTTTCTGGCAAGTCGCAAGGATATAATCTTTGCACTCATAAAACAGCTTTGACAAGTTATCATTAGCAGAGAGCTTGTCCTCGGCTAATACAAATCCCAAACCAAGCTGAACATTACAGAAATGAGATATTAGCACTAAAAGGAATGACTGGTTGACTAATAATGTGCAAATTAAGAATAAGAACAGAATGGCCAATTATTGATATTCCTGTCAAATCATGTTCAAGAAGTAGAAAAATAGAAGACTCCTTGGAGAGGTTGTAAGAGGAAGATTGTTGCTATATGTGCAACAGCGTGGATATATAAACTCAACGGCAGATTGGAAATATGAGAATTATATAAAGAAGTGATCATATGTGATTAGATCAAAACACTTACTAGAGAAACAAAAAGTTGTTGAAAAAGCTCAGAAGTGGGAATGTCCTCTAAGGAATTCAGAATTCCTTCCCTAAAGAAACCATAAACCAAGCTATCCTTGTAAGAACAATGCTCTTGTGATAGAAAATTCAAGAGTCGTAACATCAAAACTTATGCATCCAACTTACACAGCCAAATCCTCATCAAACAGAGGTGTTTGTTTAATGGCTGGTACTGGTCTGGACGTCTTCCACAGTTCACGCCACAAATTACCTAACAAATGTGCATAATTCACAAATCAGTAACACTACATGCAGGTTAAAAAAGGCCAAATAAATGCATCAAGAAGTAAAAACCCTCTACTCAACTAGAAGACTACTGTACATAAGACATGCTACAGTATTCATACTTCATTCTCCTAACACAAGTTACACAAGGGCATATTACAAGTTCATTCAAACATCCTCCATTCTGTATTCAATGAATCAAAGTTCTCTCCTCAAAAGTAAAATCTGACCAAGAAGAAACTAAAATGCAGCAAACTTTACAAAATAAAGGAAACTGGGATAAAGAAAAAACCTTCTTTTTGCATTCGACTACTTAGTTGACCTCTTGTAATCAAAGAGTTAACCTCATCACTTGGCTCAGTTTCAGTCCAATCAGGAGGAGAGTGCCATCTAACAAAATCTTCTAAAATACAGCCAGGATTTGCAGCCTAACACAATTTTTAAATAAATTTAGATAGATTATGCATTGAAACTTGAAAGAATATTGTATTGCATTCATATGTATCTACAACAGTAGTAAGAGGAAATTTCTTCGTGCTTAATAATCACCTTGAAAGCCTGCATGTCAGAGAGGAGTTGAGAACACCCAGCACCAACACTGACCCATGAAAGATATGGCAATGAGTAAAAGAATAACAACAATAATGTAACTAACTCAACAGAGTATTGTGATAGCAGCGGAAAAACCGTGTAGGTATAACTTCTAATCTTATGTTGTAAACAGATTAAGATGATGACCATCAAAAGTGGATAGTAAGAGTTCTATAGTGTGAAATTCAAATAAAATGTTTCGAGGTTAAGGAGTGTTTGGTCAATATACTGACCTCCCTGTTCGAAGCACTAACTCCTCTGTTTCTCTGATAAGATCTTCTGTAAGCAAAGGTCCTTCCTACAGACATAAAACATAAACACGCTGAACCATGGGGATAGGCTGAAAAGGTAGGTAATCTGTTGCAGAATTTGTCAACCAAACCTGGGTAATAGGTGAGTATATAGGTTCACCAGTTTCCAACATTGTTAAATTTTCAGTCAGTTTATTAGCTCCCAGTCGAAGAACAAGTTCTCCAGTGTTAATTCTGGCATACAACGAAGAGCTTGCAGCCATTGTGCCTATAGAAACATCTGATTCTTCAACATTTGAACTAGCTTCCCTCATTTCAGAATCAAATGATTCAGTGGCAATAGCACGACGTCTTTTTCTTGATAGACAACAGTTAATAACCTGTAATTGCTGATATAAAAGACATGAATTTAGATCTGGAATCTCATCCACAGGAATGCCTGGCAGATATCTCCCTTCAGACCAAAATCTTCTCAGCTGCACGTGTAAAGGATTCAATGCTTTTCATCAGATGAAGATTAACAACAAGTATGTTTAATGCAAACAAACTATAAATGCATCAAAATGTTAAAATGAAGGAATTTAATTTACTTGAAGAGTAGGCATGAAATATTCCTACTAAGATGTATCCGAGTGTCAATATGTTGTTATGCTAGATAAAAGGTTATTATGATCTTATGCAATGATGATACCTTAAACTTCATTACATAAGTTCTGATAGTTGACAATTTTTAGTGAGACAAACAGATCCAAAGTGTAAAATCTGTGAAGTTTTCTTCCAACATGTTCAGATAAAAGTTCTGTATAGCCCACTTACTTCGATAACAACCCTGGACCAAAATAGTGCCATTTTGCGAAGGGTTCTAAAGCTTCCAATGACTTCAGAAAGCTTAACAAGGAAGCTATGTGGAGGAGCACCATGAATGTCTTTTGGCAAAGATATCATTGTTGTACATGTCTTTGAATCAGAGACAATCTTCCTTTGAAGGAAGTTTCCATCTGCAAATATCTTGCAGATGTTACAATGAAAGTGAAAGACCATCATGGGAAAATGTGAAGGTTTAAAGAAGAAACATATCTCTTAACAAGAGCACATGTCCTATCAGTCACAAATATGAATCTACCTGCATCAAACAGTGAATGAATCAAAGCGATGACTCTCTCATCATCACCAAAGCCAGATGCAAGTTTATCCTCTTTGTCACGAAGAACCAACGACTTCACTACAGAGAAGCTCAAGCCTGTCCTTTCCCTAATGGGTGAAGAATTTCCAGAAGATGGCAACAGATCTTTCAATGACTTAAAATTCTTTCCAGCCCTGGAACCAGAAGGAAATAACAGAAAGATAAGAACACCATATACAAGCTGAAATATGATAAATCAATAGATCACACATTTGACCAGTTAGCATGAGCTAAGAAGCGTCAATGGACCAGAAAGTAAATCCCAATAAAGGTAGTTAATTCACGAATCAGCATGTTTCATGAGGCATCAAATGATTTTAAATATCAACAATAGCAGAGAAAGAAAAACACTGAAGTCAAGAATTGAAAGCATGTTAATGGCACAAACTTACTCAACAGCTATAGCCAATTGCTTGATGACAGATGTTGGAGGAATGTTATTCGCGTTGATGGTATTTAAAACATCTACAGAGGGAATTGCTTCTAAAAACTGTAAGATCAGAATCTCATTAGCTAAAATCCATTGCTTTGAATTTCTTAGTGAAAGAAAAATAAACATCTTAATTTCCATTACAGCATATCTCACCCATAGGCGAGCAAAATAAAGAGAACTGCAAATGTACCTTAGCTTCTGCATCGTTCTTCATGTTGAGCAAGTATATGTTTTCATCATAGAATGGAACAGCCATTGTTGAATTTTCAAATTTCTCAGAATCTTCGACTCCTTTTCTTCCTATTCGTATATTCTTAAACCTTTCCTGCCATTCTTGCTTTGTCCCCAAATTTGCAGTTCTCCACCTAGAATGCTTTACCTCATGAAAACTCTGCTTCATACCACACCAATTTTAAAACTAAAATAAATAAATATGTATTGAGAAATAATATTTTCATTATTTTACTTGACTTTTCAAGGAAAATAAAAACTGCAAATAAAACTTCACCATAATAAGTACTCGGCAGAATTTTAAAGCCTTTTCTGGCTTGTTTGGTTGCTGAAAAAGCGCAGGAAAACTAAAGAACATACAAATTGCAAAGCCTTTGATTCCATTCTAAGCAAACTAAGCTAAACTCTTTGAATTCAATACTTAAATAAGTCAACCACAACAAAACTTCAATAAATAATTTTACACTTTACTTCATTTTCTCAGCAGCCAAACGAGAGCCACATTGTACCTCAATTCCAATCTCCCTTTAAAAAAAAAAAAGAATTGAAGAAAAACAGCTTAATCCTACATTTCTGCTTAAAAGAAAATTAAAACTCAATTAAAATTCAAAATTCAATGAAAATTTACCTTAGACTCGCGTTCGTTCGTCGGAGATTCGTTTTTGAATTCCTTCGGCAATGATTTATCAGAATCTTCACCAAATGGATAAGGAAAAAATTTTTAAAAATAAACAAACAAGTTTCCGTTATAAATATTTAACAACAATCTCTTAAAAACCGCAGATTGTTTAAACGAATCTAAAAATAGCAAATCAAAAAATAAAATTGCGATGGATATTAACAGCCAAAAATATAGAGGACGATTTTTTTTCCTTTTTCTTTTTTTTTTTTTTTTACCTAGATCGGATTTCAAATCAGTGAAAACTCGCTCGGCTTTGGCAGCTGCGGAGTGGAAAGCGGTTCTCGCTTTGGAGACAAACGAGGTAGCTTCCATATCGTGCGCCGGGGGTGCGCACGTTAAGATTTGGAGGCGTAGTGGAAGAGAGAGAAAAGGCAGTTGTTAAAATTGGAGGGACCGAAACGGTGGCATTTTGTTTGCAGGAGGAGCGGGGGATTTGTTGTTTGGGTGAGGAAGAAAGATGAGTGGAAATGGGAGGATTTTAAAGTTTTTATACAAAAAATCGAAATCTATTTAATAAATATTAAATACTATATATTTTAATATATTTAAATTTTTAATTTTGTTTTGTAATAAAAGTAAGTTGATGATTTTGATGTAATATACTGTTAATTTATGTTTAGAACTATTGATATGTTCAACTTTGGATAAGATAAAGTTTTAAATTTTGACATTTTCTGAAGGAAATAAAATTTGACTTTTACCTTGTCATCAAGAAATTAATTATTAAATTTTTGCTTAAATTATGATAAAATTAGATAATTAAAAAAAAATCAAAGTTTGAATTTATCATCAACGGTTCTACCAATTTCTTTTTTTACCAAATCAAATTTAGCAATGTATGATATTTTATTTACCATTTTTTCAAAGAAATTTTGATGCTACTTATTTTTTAAATAAAAAAACTGATGCTACTTAAGCCTGTTAATTACCATATAATAGTAACTAATTGCTATATATAATATTTCAATCTCTATTGATTCCAGTTTTTTCTTTTAAAATTTTCACGTTTAAATATTCCTGAATTTATATTATTTTAAAAAAATTTTTAAATTTGTAATTTTAAAAAATTTAACTAACATACATAATATCTTAACTAATATTAAATTAGCTCAATTAGTTCAATATTAAGTTAATTTAATGGAACATCAACAATTCATTGAAGTTAACAATGGTTATTTTTTTGTCACAAAGTCAAAAATTAATATATACAAACCAATAAAAACTCATCAGTAGTTATTTAATTTGTTCGTAAAATGTTAATCTATTATTATTATAAATAAATATTTATTATAAAAATTTATAATAAATTTTTTTTATTATATATATTATTATAAAAAAAATTAGGACAAATGCACGAATTCACTGTCGTCATTTGGATGAAATCATGAGCTTTAAAATCATATTATTAATTTTTAATCACCGTAACTTAGAAGCATCGCCCGCTTGATGTAAAAATCCTTCCTATAATCATAAGATTTTGTTGGTCAACACGCTTTGGATGTCGCGTTTACAACTAACACTTTGCGAAAGCTTCAACATGCTTCCTTCTTTTTTTTTTTTTTTTTTTTTTTTGTTTTATAAATATTAGTTAAGAATAATAAAAATAAGAGATAAAAGTAAAAAAAACTCTCAAATATAAATTTAATAATTATTTAAATTTATAATGTTTATTATAATTAATTAAATCATAAATTTTTTATTTTAAATCAATTAAACCATTAAATATTTATTTTCATCAAATTAAACTTTTATCTTATACATTTTTTATTCAATTAAACTTTTGATTTGATAAAATCAATTAATCAATTTTCGTTTAATAAGGGTTTAATTTATAAAAATAAATATTTAAGAATTTAATTAATTACAAAAAAATAAAATTTTAGATGATTATTGAATTTTAATTCATAAATTTTTTGTTTTACCTTGTTATCTAAAAACAATATATTAATAATTTTTTTAAATACCACCTTAATAATATCTTAAATATTAAAAATTAGAATAAAAATTTAGTAAAGAGAGTGAAAGCAATTTGAGAAGGTAAACTTGATTCCAATAGAACTTGTCAACGAATTAGACAAGTTTTTTTTTACTTCGAATGTAGTCTTTCCTTTAGAGAAATCTCTTTCAAGTTTCCACTTAAAAGTTTTCTTAAATGGTCAAGTATTGGAAATTAATGGAATTCTTTGGCTTCCAAGTTCCAATAGAAATCTTCCAGTCTCGAGTCTCTCAAGACTGTTGATCTTGAAATGGCCATCAACGTAGTAACCAAGACCCGATAAATACAGCACTAGACGTATTGACTTGGTTATATTAGAAACTGCTCCAAATAATATATTATTATTTGAATTTAATTTAAAATATATTTATAATTTATTATTACTACAATATTATTATAAAGTTTTATTGTTTTAACATTAAAATTTTAAGTTATAATTCAGTTTGAATAAGTTTTTTCAAAGATCAAGTCAATTTTGGATCATGAACATGAAGATATGTAAACAAAAATAATGTGAAATTCCAATTTAAAACTTATAATACTTGATCGTGGATTGGGCTGCACTTGACATTAATAAATTTCATGTATGACCAAGTAAGTCTTAGTTATTATTTGCTGTTCAGGCCTGATTTTAAATGAAAAGAAATAGTTCAAGTCCACTTAAATTTCATTTTTTTGAAATAAGAAATAAAATAAACTTTATAATGAGTATTAATTATAACAAATAAATAACCAATGAACTAAATATTAAAAAAGCTAGCCTTTTTAATTTTATTCTATGTTTTAGTGAGATTGAATACATGAAGTTATAAGAGATTAATGTGCACGTTTATTTTATTTAATTATTTATCTATATATAATATAAATATAAATAAAAAAATATATATATAACTGACAACGGGTAAAAATTATAATCAAATTCTTATTTGTTTAGAAAATGAACCTTTAATTTAAGTTTAAATTCATTTAACAGATTTATCATTTTTATTTAAATTATTTTAAATTTTAAACGAAATTTCCAGTTTGACAGTAATTTAGTTTTTAAATATATATAAATATATTTTTAATGATTTGTATATTCGTATAATATAAAATATTAAAATTTATATATTTATATTATATTTTACATAAATATTAAATATTATAATTTATATCGATATAAAAATATAAAATATATTTTTTAAAATTTTATTAAATTTATATAAAATTTATTAAAATTTTAAATTGTATCATTTTTAAATTATTTTTTATCGTTTTAATATTGTATTACTATATAATATTTCAAATTACAAATTTATATAAATAACTATTAAATTTTAAATTTATATTCGAATTTGAGAAAATCTACGTTAAATTGAGATTGATTATCTAAAATTTTAATTCAAGTCGTTCAAATTTTTTTTGAAGAATAGGTACTTTAAGCTGTTAAATTTAAGTTTTAACGCTACCGTTACTCAAATTAAAAATCTAGACTGTTTAATATCCCCTCGTTGGCAACAGCAAATTGGATGCAAGGCTAAAAAAGATAAAATTCTCTCGCGCTTTCTCTGACTCTCTCTCTTCCTCTCATTCGCTCTCAAATCTGAGCGCCAAAAATGGACGAAGAAATGGACGAAACCGAAGCCGTCCCTCAGGTCGACATGATTTCCGAGCTTACATTTCTTCGATTTGTCTTTTCTGTATCATCTGCTTGGTTGCTGAGAAAATCGGAGGAAAAGAAAGAAAAAGAAAAAAAACAGGCCAAAAAAAATGAAAATGTCTAACTGGCGTGTTCTCTGTTGCTTCGTTTAAAAAAAAAAAGGAACTAAGGAAAATCGAGAGTTCTTAATTTTTATAATATATCTTTTAAAGTACCTCGTTGTAATGTCTGTACATTTCACTCCATTTTCTTAGCAACCAAACAGAGCTGAACCGGATGTTTCTCCAAACGACTTTATAACAGCTGAACCTTCAATTGCTCATTGATGGCTTTGCGTCATTGAAATGCCTAAACATTCAAATCGTGCAACCGCAATTTATAATCTGCATTTGAATACCTTCTGCTTGTGAAAATTTCCTTCTATATTATTTTCTGAGTTGCGTTTGGCCTTTAAGTTTGTTTTGATCTTAAGCAAATTCTATTTTGTGTAACTTAATAATTATTGCTGTAATTAGCAAAAATATTTTGCTGTTATGATTAATTTGTTTCTAATCAATCTGTTTGGATGGATTTAAACGCAGGTTTACATGGCGTGTATTCACCACGGGCATCGGTGAGCTTCATCTTCGGGCTCTGTTTGTTGATGCTTTCGTTCTTTATTTTTTTTTGTTTTGTCATAGAAAATGAGAAGAAAAAATAACTACAAAAAAAAAAAATTAATGGTAAAAAGTAAAAACAAAATGCAAAAACACCAATCAAATGAAGACTATGAAAGTAGCTAAGTTAGATGTCGTTAAAGCTTCTGCTAATGGTGTGTGATTCGATTTCAATGTTGAGAAAATTTAAGGAAATTTATGTTTGGAATCTTGATCAAGGGGCCTTTTTTTCAAACTATGCTGTCCAGAATTGGAATTTCCTACTACGATTCCAGCATTTGTCAGCTTAATGTATTAGAAGTTTGGGATGATGGTAGCTCAGACTTTCCACTGATTGAACTGGGTATGAGTTTCATGTCTCTATTCCATTATGTTTCTTGATATATAAGTAATTGGATTTTTGAAGATCAAATTAGTTAGTCCTGTCCTTATCTTCATAATCTTTTCTATGGGTTCATATTTCTCGTCTTCCTTCAGTTTTAATTCATTATCTTTATTTTCCTTGTTTTGCTTAACACTACTGAAGTGAAATATCAAGCCAAGCCTCTGATCATATACACAAGTACTAAAACTGAAGACTCCTTTCTGTCAGCTTTACAACAAAGTGGTAAGCTCTCTTTGTTTGGTTGTGTTACATAAATCCTCAGCTTCTGGACCATATTTACTCTCTAAAGTGACGCAGATGGAATGACTGAGGCTCCTACAGTGAAGCTTGTTAAAAGTTCGATATTCACTTACGAGCAAGCATGGCACCGGTATCAAATGGATAGTAAATTATATTTTGATACCCTTTTGTTAATTTCTCCAAGATTAATATAGTTATAAGTGAACTGATAGGATGACTAAATTTCTAAATTGAAGATTTAATTTCGGGTTCTTTTTTGTGTGATTGGTAATCTGAACTATGGTCAATACTACCAACCAAGATCAGCCCTTTACAGCAGAAATGAAGCCCGATATTCTTTTAATCAATTTCCCTCTAGATACTTGGCAATTTGATTAGCATTCATTGGAGAGGCTTGGCTGAAAAGCTTCCGAATCATTCTTTTATATTAAGCATGTTTCAGGTATCAAGCATAAGGGAATATGGTAAATGGTTCATAACTTAATCAATATGTTATATACTCATATTTGGAAGAGGCCAACACTATATAAATGTACATGCTTCGCTTCTGCTGCTGATATGGATTGATTAGAAGAAGTTA